TCTCATGGGTTTCCTCCCTCTTTCCTTCCTTACTACACCCATGAGAAGAATGTGACTCTGGATTAAACAGCCTTTCTTCTCATGGGTTTCCTCCCCTACTACCTTCTATTCCCACATCGGCTGTTTAATCAGGAAGGATATGACTATGACCTTTTTTCTTTAACTTACCTCTCTTTTTCTCCTCCTGGACCTCCTCTATAAATTCTTATTCTTGGAACGAAGTGCTCTACTCTATTCCCTGTCCCGTTCTAACTGCGTCCCGCCATTCTCCATCTGCAGCAAATCCTCGATCCCTGAATGGTGGCTACTCCGCCTCTGCCTAAAACCTTTTGAAGAAAACCGGCCCTTTAGTTTCTGCGCCTGGTCTGGGTGCTGCCGGAGCTGCCTGCGTGTCCTTTTCCATTGTGCTTGGAAGTCTATGTCCAGTAGGCTGTAAAGGATCTCAGCTGCTTCCTGCCTGTGCGTTGCCCTCGATGGTGATCTGACAGCGCCTCTTCCAAATTGTCCACAGCGTGTACTGCCTTTTCAGCTGGAAGGTGCGCTTTGTCTATCTGGGAAGAGGAACCCTACAAAGCATATGTGATCGGGGTACTCTCTCTCTCTCTCTCTCTCTCTCTCTCTCTCTCACACACACACACACACACACACACACACACACACACACACAGGATTGCCATGTCCTATCATTGCCTAACAGAAGTGTGATTGTGTTCTCGGGAAATGGAGCCGATGCCTTGGCCTTCTCCCGTAGGCAATCTGCCTCTGGGCATGTCAGGAGACAGTGAGTCATGGATTCCGGAACCCCCTCCTGGCAGACCATACAGAGCGCGTTGGCTGGGTCTCTGTGTTCCTTGCTCCGGCGTTCGTTTAAACCAGACATTGACCGGTAGTGCCACGTGGGCAATCAGCCACTGCATGCGCTTAACCCTCCCCATGCGTATCGTATTTATCAACGTCCATTGGAATTCCTGGCAGCTGTTCCGGGGAACCCACACCCTGCTCTCCCAGAGTTTGGACAGGGTTGCTGCTAGAGGGTAGGAACGCCTTTTCAGGCGATAACCTATGTGCGTGGTGTAGTTTAGCGTGTTGATCCTTCTGGCCACTCGTAGTCTTCCCCCTGGCAGGTTCCATGCCCATTCCCCCGGGTCCACTTCCAAATCTTCCACCGGGGTAGTTGGGCTGTAGATTATGAACGCCTCCGTTTCTACCACCCTTACCTTGCGCACTTGCTGTCGCTGGATAGTAACCGGCATCGTGGTTGTTTTTTGTCGAGAATCCTACCGTCTTCGCCCGAATATAACGCCCGGTCATTATCGCTGTACCTAGACTGAAAGTTGAACCAGATACGGCTATAATGACGGGGTGTTCTATTCGGGTGAAGACGGTAGTGGAACCTTCTGGGATCACGATGGTATACATATCTGCCGTGTAACCATTCCTTCCTTGTCGACTCCCGACTCCAGATGCGGAAGGCTTCCCTTGGTTCGCACTCGTGCCTCCATGTGACCCCTTGGTTCGCTCTCCTGCCTCCATGCGACCCCTTGGTTCGCTCTCCTGCCTCCATGTGACCCAGTCTCCCAACCCCCGCTGAGTTTCCCCTTGTAGCTTCCTTGTTCGTTCCTCTGTAATTGATATGAGGAGGTCGTTCAAATTCTCCAGCAGTCTATGACTGGCTTTCAGTCCCGTTCTGAGTTCCCTGGCGGTCTTCCACCGCTGCTTATCTCCCTCCCACAGATACTTGATCTGCCGTACTCCACGCTTCACCCAAGTTCCCCACTTTGTATCCCTTGCTGTAAGGGTATGAGGGGTTTTCCCTGTTTGTCTCTGATTCTTGGACTGCGGAAGAGGGGTTGGCGTAGAATTTCCTTCCTTCCTTGTTCGAGGGTCGTTGAATCTTGCTGGGAAGACGTCTTTCCACAATTTTGAGGGAGTCGGGTCCCCATTAAGACCCCTCCCTTCATACATCAACGGCGCCTGTTAGAGCTTCTTCCCTTCTGCCTACTTAAGCCCAATTACTGCACACTACACAAAACAATCCTGACATGTTGGCTGTGCGCAAATTAAATGGGTGCGTACTTTGAATTTGGACTGTGATCATGAAGGCGAGAGAAGAATGGATATGTTATGATCCTGGCCAATTTCGAAGTACACATTCATCAGAAAGTACACGGGCGTCCAATTGCAAAAAGAAATGAATGAACTTGAGAGGAGAGAGAGGGAAAGAAGAAGAAGAAGAAGAAGCAGAAATAAAGAAGAAGAAGAAGAACAGAAATAAAGAAGAAGAAGAAGAAGCAGAAATAAAGAAGAGGAAGAAGAAGAAGAAGAAGAAGATGTACACCAGCAAAGACCAATGATAATTCCCTTCTTCTCGCCAGCCACTCTCCTCCTCCTTTTCTTCTCCCCTCTTTATTCACAATAAATAATAATAATAGTAATAATGTTGAATGGCTGAACCAGAATCAATGTCCAAATCCCTCTTCTACTGCAGGTACAGCATGAGGTCCACCATAGCCATGGCCACCCTTCTCCTTCCTCTTCCTGAAGGCCGAGGCTATGGCAGACTGCTAGGGTCTTGCCCTGATGTGCAAAAGACAACTCAAAGCAGCTATGGCTGCGCTAGCTCAGGCCGCCATGCCTGACTCTGCCTCGAAGCTTCTTGGTGTAGCTCTACCCCAACTGGGGCCTTCCAGATGCAGCGCTCGCCAAGCGGATGAAGATGGCATCCACCATAGCCAGGTAAGTACCTCTGGCGCTCCCCCTTCCTAGTCCTCGTCGTCCTCCTCCTCCAGCCCGTACTCCTCCACACATGGCCGCGATGGGGAGCTGGGCGCTCCTTCCTCCCAACCAGCGCTCCAAGCAGAGTGTCGCCAAACTTGCACACCGAAGAATGAGGAGGAGCTCTTTGTTCCTCCAGCGTACAGGCCCTGGACTCAGACTGGTTGGACTGGCACCTGCCTAGACCTAGCCTACAACTACTGGGCCTCAAGAATGCCGACTTTTGTCTTCTTCTGCTCGTCTCGAGTACCCAGCACATCTACCTCTACCTGGTGTGGTACCGGCCTTCCTTCTACTTGAGTGTTTTTCCGCTGCTCTAAGTGTCGTGGGCCTCTTTCCCCACCACTTGATGGTTTCCCCGCTGCAACCCTCAATGTCACGGCCACAGGTAAGTACCGGCCCTTCGGGCCTCTCGTACAGACGAGTACCTTTGCGGGTCTCACACACACTCTCAAACCGACAAGCACTCAGACAGGCATGCAGACCAGCAAGCACGCACACACACGGACTTAGAAAACTCAGCAACAAGCAGGAAACTCAGCAAGGCATACTTCCCATTGGCAAAACTCAGAAATCAGCTGTGTGTCTCAGTCCGCGTTTGGCAGGTCCTTACAAATAAGCAATCACGGCAGCCTACCATCTTCCCCCAAATAGAACATATGATAATAATCGCTGTATTTAGACTGGAATTTGCCCCAGATACAGCTATAATGGCCGGATATGTTATGCCGTGGAAGATGATAGGGTATAAATTACGTAAGCTGGTGTGTGGAAGACGGCTGTATTATACAGCTATAAATTACTTAAGCTGTTGCTCTTTTGAATTTGTTTGGAAATGTCCCTGTTGAATATGCTGATGGAGAATGCACATGACTGGATTGATTGGTATTTGCAGGTGTGGCCCACAACCGAATGCAAAACTCTTACTCAACTACGGTTACGTGGACGAGGACAATAAGTATGACCGATTGGTTCTGGAGGTAAGATGCTGGGATGACAGTTCTAAAAGGATAAAGTCAGGGTAAGGTAGTTACGATAACATCCCATAAAAGCGAAGATAACCATGTTCCTTCCTTAGGTTGTGTGGGTAGTTGCGATAAAATCCCATAAAAGCGAAGATAACCATGTTCCTTCCTTAGGGTGTGTGGGGATTGAATTGAAGAGAATCATTTTTCTTCCTTAGACTTAGGGTGAGTTTGGATGAAAGTTACGATGAATACTTTTCAACTATTTACCCTCCTTGGGGTGAGTTAGGGTAGAAGTTAACCGGTACCCGTCCACTTACTTGAGCGATGCGTCGTTGTGGTTTGTTAGGTGTGGCGCTGAGAAGTATGCCCACCCATGCTTGGCTTTGTCTTGACTGTTGCTGTAGTTTCCTTGTGTGAAACTTGTGCCTGCTTCCTGAGAGAGACACCCAATCTGTCTGTCTTTGCGAAGCGTTCTCAAAAGTTATGTTGCTCATTGCTATGAGAGATGGTCATATATGATCTCTCCCTCCTCTCCCTCCTCTTCCCCGTCTTTGCCCTCCTCTCCTTTCTCTCCCTCCTGTCGACCGTCCTTGTGAACTGTGGTATCTTCACCAGAGTGCTGCTGTTTTTGCTGCATCCTCTGCTGTCGCTGCCGCTGCTGTTGGTGCTTCTGCTCCCACCGCTGTTCTTGCTGCTGCTGTAGGTGCTGTATGCCTTCTCCCTCTCTGTCACTCTGTTGCTGTGCTCGCGCCACCTGTGCTCATGCCACCTGTGGTCTCGGCACTTGTGCTGTCGTCAGCTGCATTATCGCCACCTGTGGTCTCGGCACTTGTGCTGTCGTCAGCTGCATTATCGCCACCTGTGGTCTCAGCACTTGTGCTGTCGTCAGCTGCATTATCGCCACCTGTGCACTTCCGCCCCTGCTCTTGCTTGCTTTGGCACCGGCATTCACATTGTTGCCACTGCTCCTACTGCTATTGCCACTAATGATAATGCTCCCTGCTCTGCAGAAGTTGCTGCCGTCGCTGTTGCTAACTGAAATTGAATTGTTTAATTGATCACAAGAGAGAGAGAGAGAGAGAGAGAGAGAGAGAGAGAGAGAGAGAGAGAGAGAGAGAGAGAGAGAGAGAGAGAGAGGGATGATGCTATCAAAGTATGAACAAGGCTTGTGTTTGTTTCTGCGTGAATGAATTTGATGTGTCGAGGTGGAGAGAGAGAGAGAGAGAGAGAGAGAGAGAGAGAGAGAGAGAGAGAGAGAGAGAGAGAGAGAGAGAGAGAGAGAGAGAGAGAGATGATGCTATCAAAGTATGAACAAGGCTTATGTTTGTTTCTGCGTGAATGAATTTGATGTGTGGAGGTGTCATTGTTCTGCTTTTGTACCTACTAGCATGCATCGTTCACAAGTTCATCTGCGCCATCAAGCGAAGGGCATTCTAGGGTTGGGGGTTTATCTGGTAGTCACACTGAAGGAGGACTGAGAGGGATGCTCAAGGATGTTTATTCAGGAATGTTTCTTAAGGGAGAGAGTGTGGTCAGGGGAGGGGGGTTTATTACAGGGCTTGGGCTTAACAAACAGTCGTCAATCCTCCCGTGAAGAAGTAATCAATGTTGTCAGGATTCCCCCGGGCGTGACATGGGGAAGCGTCAAGGTGTTTTATCATACGTCATTTTTGACTTGCCGTTAAAATACATCTGTCCCCCATGTATGAGGAGAAAGCAGCTGTAGTTAAAATGAAATTAAAAAAAATGGTAAGGAGGAAAAAAAAGAGCCTGGGAACCGGACTGTCGCTCTCCAGAATGGAAGGAGCAGGGCCATGAGGAAATAAAGTAATGGTACTGAAAAGTCTGAAATTAAATAAAACTTATTAAAAAGGATAATCTATTAATCTGCATGACGTGGCTGACGGGGTTGTAGCTGTCGGTGTCTTATTGACATGACACCTTTTGAAAATGTTTAAATGTCATTTCGTTTGCTAAATGTGGTTCAAGCTTCAAAAAGAAAAAAAAATGAAAAAGAGGAAAAGAAAAAAGGATGCCTGTCTGATATTGAATCACATCCTTGTATGCTGGGATGATGGTTGCGGATTCCTCGCAGGCTGCTCTCAATACGGAGGACCCTCTCTACCAGAAGAAGCGGGCGATAGTGCAGAAGAGTGATCGGTTCACCAAGCAGCAGTTTTTGGTAGGGCATCCCTGTAAGGATTTCAACTTCCCCTTCATGCTTCTCCTCCTCCTCCTCCTCCTCCTTCAGTTTTTGGTAGGGCATCCCTGTAAAGATCACTGGCTGTCTTTTTGTCACCGCCATATATCTCATCTCAGAGGCATTTGAAAGGCAAACGAGACACCCTCTGGTCCATTGTGAAAGCGCATTGTCCTGCATGTGTATCAAGTTGAGTGAGAAGTCCTGGTGTTCACTCCTGTCGTCATCTTCTTCAAGTTTAGAATGCATGCATCTCCTCCTCCTCCCCCTTTTCCTCCACAAAGGTGTTTGTTATGTGATTGCACATCCTCACCCACGGCAGACAGCGGGCTCTCTCTCTCTCTCTCTATATATATATATATATATCCCTCTCTCTCCCTCTCTCTCCCTCTCTCTCCCTCTCTCTCCCGCTCTCTTTGTCTGTCTGTCTATTGCTCTCTCTCTCTCTCTCTCTCTCTCTCTCTCTCTCTCTCTCTCTCTCTCTCTCTCTCTCTCTCTCTCTCTCTCTCTCTCTCTCTCTCTNTCTCTCTCTCTCTCTCTCTCTCTCTCTCTCTCTCTCTCTCTCTCTCTCTCTCTCTCTCTCTCTCTCTCTCTCTCTCTCTCTCTCCCGCCCCCCCCACATGGGTTGGTGTGAGTAAAGTCTAGCACTTTTCTCACGGGTATATCGCTAACTGTGGGTAACATGGGTAATCCTTATCCGTTAGTCAAATGCATCGTACTTAGACTGCCAGGGTTCAACCTTCTGATGAGTCGGGCACATCCCTGCCTTTTTTTTTTGTGTGTATTTGTGTGTAACGAACAATGACAGCACACACTCATATTCTCTATTTCCTTTCTTGCCCTCATTTCAAGTATGTTGTTTGTGTTGTCCATTTTGTGCACGGTCTGGCCTCCTCCCATGTTCTCCTCAATGTCTACGTGCAGCACCCTCAAGATGTGCCATATAGTAAGTCCGTCCTCGTTACGAGTGCATGCAATGCTGTTAGCGGGGCTTCTGTATTCTGGATGCCTGTGCGTCTCTCTGTTTTTCTTGGTCATCACAGACCTCCGTGAAAGTGACTCCCTGAGTCGTTTGTGCAGAATCTTAATTTTCTAACTATTAAGTTGAATTACTGTTTGATGAAGGGTTTGTTTCTGTCTCTTGGTGGCTGTTTTTTAACCTACAATGTTCAAGAATTCATTGTTGGATTGCTGCTTCATGCTCATGCAGAATAAGCAAGCACAAACACAGAGGAGTCTACGTCTTGTAACTGCATTGAGTGATTGTGAATCTGTGATGACTTACTATGCGTTCCTTGGTTGGTCCAATTGTTTTCATCTGCAGATTTATCGTGGCAAGGAGAGGGAGGCGGTCTTGGACATGCTTCCCTACCTGCGCCTTGCTCACATTACTGATGAAAATGAGTTAGATGCATTCCCATTTACGGCAACAGGAACGGTAAGTCAGCAATCACCAACTCTTCTTACATAGGTTCATTCTCAGATGATCTCTCTGTTTGTTTTTGTCTTTTTTGGGTGTGTGACCGCGTGTCCAATGTCATCCCATGGTGTACTCACCATGCACCGAAGGAACCCATGGTACACACCACCCTGCCGTAACCAAAGTAACGCTGTATGTTGCGACTCTACCATTACTACTCATGAAGCGAGCTACCTCGTACATACGTACGTGGTTATCCATGACCAGCTGTCCAAAGTTCCAGACATATAGGCTTGAGGGCATGGGGGAGGCGGGAGGGCAGACAACGCGCAAAGACACCAAGCAGGCAAACCAAAGAAACCAGTCTCAACAGGATGCCAAGGCCAGGCAGACAAGAAAAGCATCAAGGCAGCCAAAACCAAGCAAGCGAAGAGACATGAAGGCAAAAGAGCAGTGAGGTGAACCATAGGCTGGAGGGCACGGGGGGAGGAGGGAAGGCCGACAACATCCAAGCACACCAAACAGGCAAACCAGAAAAAAATACAGGTCCCAAAAAAATCGAAAGACCGACAAAAATAAAAGCTGATGATGGCAGGGCTGGTCCCCGGATGGACCGGGGACCCCTACCCCATTCGCGGTCCTCCCGGTTGGACCGGCCGGTGGCCCGGGCCAGTTCCCTCCCGGTTGCCCCCAGCGCATTTTTGCTGGGGGCTGAATTTTTTTTTTTTGTCGGCGCGTATGTGTTCCCGAGGCGTCGTGGGGGCGGGCCGTGCCCCGCAATTTCGAAACCGGGTCCTGTAGGCCCGGATTTTTCAAGTACAGAAAGTGGCCAATCTTGGCCGCCGATCGTCGCAGATCAGCGGCAAAGATCGGCCAGGACCCCATTTCTATAAGAAAAACAGGCAGAGGATATCCGCCGCTGATCTGTGCAGATCAGCAGCGGAGAACAGCCATGCATTTTTCCTAAGATGTGGGTCTTCCGGCCCCTAATGGGCCTAATCCAATTTGTCATCTTGTGGTCCAATGGACCAGTTACCAGTGGCAACATCTGATGCTCTTTCACCCTCAGCTACGAGGGGAACACTATGCTTCTGATGAGACTCTGCTGAGATTATATCCTTCTGCGACGTCCCTGCCATCTGTGGAAAAAGTTATGGGTTCGGATTTTGGAATTGTGATTTCAGAGCCGTCCGAGGTGCAATCCCAAGAATGGACCTAAGCTATAGGGCRTCRCTGCACTACTCTCGACATGCACAAAAGGCAAAAATCTTGGCGGTGTATCTTTCCGAATTCTAGYGGAAGATTCACTCTCGTTTTGCACATTTCGAGAGTAGTGCAGCGAGGCCCATATTCTTCTCTCTATCTATCTCGAATGGACCTTGCTCCACTACATGTATCTGGACAGACTGCCAGGCAAGATACTTCCGGACTGACAACTCATCTTATGTAGGAACCAACAAACGGAAAACGCTCTGCCTCCACGAGCAGAAAGCTGGAACCATAACTTTTCTGCTGTCGAAATATACTCTGGAAGAGCTATAATTTCGGGCAAGGACCTCCTCTCATCATATCTGGTTCAGCTCGTGGGGTATTATCAATATCAAATGACATACTCCACGAAGTGCTCCAGCCACCGGGGGGGTCGGATTAGTGAACTTGCTTACTTGACCCCTCCCCGAGGAAGCCATAGTTGCCTGAATATGTCAATAATAACCCCCTGCCCCCCTCTGGAAGCCCCCTGAAAAGTGTTGTACCTTGAAAATTTTATTGCGGATTCGGACAGCTCTTGAAGAGCGCAGTCGGAATCTGCCCCCCCCCCCCAGAAAAAAAAGATATTTGGGCACTTTTTTTTCAAAACCGGTTTCCCGGTTCACCCCCCTTGGTCTGGTCCGGCTCCGGTTGGACCGGGTTAGCTCAACCGGCCGGTTGCCGGCCCAGCACTGGATGATGATAGATTGTTTCGTCGCAGTTGCACCGACTCATCAGGAGGCTGAACCCTCGACAATCTGCAGAATCTTCGTATTGATGGTTTGGGTCATGAACCCTTTGATCCCCTTGTTGAAAGGCAGACTGTCCACAAGCGGAACACAGCAGCTGGGCAACTGCAATGAACCTTGAAAGGCAGACTGTCCACAAGCGGAACACAGCAGCGGGGCAACTGCAATGAACCTTCTAGTTCAACACTAGTGAATGCACATATTCACACTTCATGCATATACGAGATCACACGGAGTTCACACTGAAGACCAGAGAGATTAAGACCAGAATAACGCAGCTTATGAATTCCAACAAGTTATACAAGAGCAATAAGAGTTCCGAGTCACCAACGCACATCAGCGCATGTCAGAGGTATCCAATAATCCAACATGATCACCCAGGTAAGTTTCGCCTTCCTCCCTGCTCTTCTTTCTCTTAGTTGTATCACCCTCCTTGCTGGTCTTCTCTCTAGCTCCTGATCTCGCTGTATCTTCTCTCCCTACATGCATGCACATGCACACCGACTTCTACCCTTCAAAGATCTACTCGGAATACACCCACTGTTAACTCTACTAACTCTCTGAAGACTACTACTAAATACTAACACTAACACCCTGTGCTGGCGCAGCTATGGCTGCCTTCTCTCTGCCAGGGCTGTCTTCCTCTCTCTCTCTCTCCCTCTTTGCGCAGCACTCTGGCTTAAGCACTCTGCCCCTCACAATAGCGCACAAGTGCACCAGCACTTCCACACTCTTTGCGAATGAGCAATCTCCCTGAATGTGAGGTTGGCAAGTCCTTTTGTAGTCTTGGTTTGCACTTCAACTCGTGCCAGCCTCTGTTTCTTGGGTCCTGACTGGTTCCGGTACCACATCCCCACGGCCTGTCTGCTACTGAATGTCAAGGCCTGGAACCTTCCCGAATGTCCATTGGACTGCTGCTGCTTGGGCCTTTGAGTCGTCACTTTTCACTTGTGAACCTGACTTTTGACTGTGAACAGTGACTCCTGCCTGTGGGTCACGACCTTTGCCTGTGATTCTACCTTTTACTCGTGGGATGTGTCTCTTCAATATGACTTCTCATTAGGAAACGTGACTCCTACCTTTGAGACATGACTCTTGCTTGGTGAATCTGCCTTTTCAGTCGTGGGATGTGACTCTTCTGAATGGTTTTTATTATGAGACGTGACTCTTGTCCTTGAGACGTGACTGTTTGCTGGGTGCCTGTTGGACCACACTGCTGAGGTACCCGATTGTGACTTTTCTGAGTTTGACGAACTCGGCCTTTTCTTGACCTGGGCATCTGACCCTGAAGTCCGAATTTGGGTCTGAATCGTGGAAGGCCTTTCGCAACAACTCAGCGAAGCACCAGGCAACGCTGCAGGAGCAGCTCAACTGCATATTGCCAAAGACGACTCCAGGACGCTGAAGGCACAGCATGCAGATGGGCAGTAAGGCAGCACAGGAGTAAGGCACACAAGCGGAACATAGCAGCAAGCCGTAACTCAGCGAAGCACCAGGCAACGCTGCCGAAGCAGCTTAACTGCATAGCGCCAAAGACAGCTGCATTATGGACACGGAAGGCACGGCATGCGGGTCGGCGGCAAGGCAGCAGAGCAGCGAGGAGACTTGTGTAGCAAGCGGGACGGGCAGCAAGGCAGCGGTGGCGCAGACAAGACAGTCTAAGCATCCAACACGGAGCAAAGCGGCTCATGACCTACTCACATCATGAGTTAACCCCACTGACTGTGGGTTCCCACCACCCTCTGAGGCAGGAAATCACTCAGACGAACATCCGTCATCACCCGCAGAAGACACAGACATCCCGAACTGAGCGGCCCCCCTAAGAGTGTTGCAGGCACTCCGAACGAGGAATGACCAACTGTTTGGCACTGCTTGAGGGTGCTCAGCTAGGGGCCCCAAAAGTTCTTAGAAAAGTACAAGAAACTTGAAGAAAGAAAAAACATACACAAAAACGATTGTGTGTGTGTGTGTGTGTGTGTGTGTGTGTGTGTGTGTGT